CTGTGTTACCACCATGGGTCATGCAGATGTCTGTGAAATTCCTTCCACCTGAAGCCATGTTGATTCCCTGGGCTGTGCTGCTGCTGGGGCCATTAGGTTCTGATTGACTGCACTGCCACCTGAGGCCATGTTGATGTCCTTGTCCTCTATGGCTAACAGAGGCTATGATGGTGTCCATGGCATGTGTAGCAGCATAGGGATGTGTTGGTGTCTATGGTCTATATTACCACCAAAGACCATGCTGAGGTTCATGACACCTACTGCTGCTGGAGACCATGTAGATGTCCATGGTCTGTGCTATCTCCAGAAACTATGTGTAAGTCCATGATCTCCTGCAGACTCTATAGGGCAAGAAAGCTACTTTTCCCAGGATATTGATGACTACAAACTCGCAGTGAGGAAGAGGGACATAGAAGGCTTCTGTGACAACTCCTATCCATATCCTATCACACCCCCTGAAAAGAAGTAACAGTTTAGATAGAAAGTCACCAAATAGAACTCTTAAAATTGTGATAAGGATACTGACGTGCAGCTTTCCACAACTGATGGCTTCTGGTGAAGGTACAGGTTGGGAAGGACTCAGTTTCATGTAAGGGGCTGACATCCAGGTGTTTGAACATGCACAGTGAGAATATGTGTAATACAATTGGCCTTGTTTTTTGTTTGTTTGCTTGCTTGCTTTTTTTTCTTTTTACTTTTTCTTGTTGTAAATATATTGTGGGAATAAAGAATGCAGAATCATATTACAAGACTTTATTCACATTAGTTCGTAAGTTCCTCAGACTTTAAAGGCACTATTTGGCCAGTTCCTGTGTTTATAACAGGATTCAACATGGACCTACATTTAATGTCTGGGCCAATAAAGTCAGAACTCTTAAACTAATGGGGGAAAGCCAAAGGAATAATGATGGACTAATGACCACATCTGGTCAAGATAGCATAGCAAAGCTAAGACTGCATTTCTGATCAATATGACAGGATATCCCACACTTAACTGGCCTACAATACACCAAGACAGGAGTTTATGTCTTTATTCAATTCATTAGAATCTTTCATGAAAAAAAGGAAGGAATGGACTATTAAGTACACAGTGAACTCTGGTTTACTAAATCTCCCAATAGTTTTTTGTTTTTGTTTCTGTTTTTGTGTTTTTTTATTTTATAATTTTTTATTTTAAAAGAAAATTTCTTTCCTTTTATACACTAACCCCTGTTCATGCTTCCTCCTCTTCTCCTGCTTGCCCACACAATCCCCCATCCTACTCCCATCCCCTCCTCATAGAGGGGAAGACATCCCTAGGGTCCCTGTAGTCAATACAGGCTGGCATACCAAGTTGTGGCCAGACCAAATCCTTCCCTCCTGCATCAAGGCTGAGTAAAGCATTACACCATAGGGAATGGGCCCTAAAAAGCCAGTTTGTGTACCCAGGATAAGTCCTGTTCTCATTGCCAGGGGACCCACAAACACATTAAGCCAAGCAACTTTCACCCACATTCAGAGGGCCTAGTTCAGTCCCATGCAGGCTCGCCAGCACTCAGTCCAGAGCACATGAGCTCCCATTAGCTTGGGTCAGCTATTTCTGTGGTTTTCCCCATTAGCAGCGTTATTCATAATAGGCAGAACCTGGAAACAACCTAGATGCCCTTCAACAGAAGAATGGATAAAGATAATGTGGTACATATACACAATGGAGTATTACACAGCAGTAAAAAACAATGTCATCATGAAATCTGTAGGCAAATGGATGGAACTAGAAAAAATCATCCTGAGTGAGGTAACCCAGACCCAGAAAGACAAACACGATACGTACTCACTCATCAATGAATATTAGATGCAAGAAAAGGATAACCAGACTACAATGCACAACCTCAGAGCAGCTAGGTAAAGAGAAGGACACTAAGAGGGACACACATGGATTGCCCCAGGAAGGGGAAAAGGTTAAGATCTCTTGAATAAACTGGGAGGGGGTAAGAGAGGGGAAGGGATAGGAGGGAATGTGAGGTGGGAAAATGGAGGATAGACGGGGAGGGAGAGCATTGAAAGAGATATCTTGACAGAGTGTTTCATTTGGGGATGGAGAGAAATCTGCAACTAGGGAAAACCCCAGGAACTCACAAGACTGTCCCCAGCTAAGACTCATAGCAATGTTGGAGAGGGTGTTTGAACTAGCCTTCCCTGCACTCAGATTAGTGTCTCCTATTTGTCATCATAGAACCTACATCCAGTGACTGATGGATGCAGAGGCAGAGACCCACAGCCAAGGACTTGGTCAAGATCCTGGAGTTGAATTAAAGAGAAGAAGGAAGGATATTAAGAGCAAATGGGGTCAGAATCAAGATGGGAAAAACCACAGAAACAGCTGTTTTTGTGATTTCAGACAAAGTCACCAGTGTGCAGGCCTGGCTAACCTAGAACTTGTTATATAAACATGGCTGGCCTTGAACTCATAGAGATGTACCTGCATCTACCTGCCAAGTACTAGGATTGATTGAAGATATTGCACCACTGTGCCCAGAATTTCCCAAGGATTATTTTTAATTTAAATATACTGTTTAGAATTGATACAGGAGTATTGAATGTACAAAATTTCTAAACCCCCCCTTCTCACAAACAGTTCCTCCCATGTCCCCAACTTCCTCTCAAATGCACGATCTCTCCTTTATTTATTGTTGTTGCACACACACACACACATGCACATACGTGAAGCCTGTTGAGTCCATTTAGTGTTACTCATAGTCCATTCATTTAGGACTGAACCCTTGGGATTACAGAATCTATTGGGGCTCACGAACCTGAACACTACTAACTGATTAAGCAGCAAAGAAAGGAAATAAGTCACATGCTCCTGATACTAAATATTTATTTTCAGTAAGTGGAACCAACACAAGACAAACTCGAGTGGTTTGCAGTGGGGCAGGGTTTGCTTTTCTATAACGTATTTATTTATTTTACATCCCGACTGCAGCTTCCCCTCCTCCTCTCCTCCCACACCCTCCCCCTATGCTCAATCCATCTCTCTTCCATATTCACTCAGAAAGGGGCAGGTTTCTCATGGGCACTAGCAAAGCATGGCATATCAAGCTGAGGGACAGGATTTGTCTCATTTTCTTTAGTTTTGGCTTTGTGTTTTGTTGATGTTGTTCTTGTTGTTTCGGTTCTATTGCATTTTTTCTTTGTTTTGATTATCAAATGGTTTTTCAAAAGATTTTTATTTTATGTGTACATTTTGTCTGCATCATGACTGTGTATGACTTGTACGACTGGTTCCCATGAAGGACAGAAAACAGCATCAGGCTCCCCTGGAACAGCTGTTAGACAGATGTAAGCCACCATGTAGGTGCAGGGAATCAAATCAGGGCCTTGGAAGAGCAACCAGTGATCTTAACAACTTTAGCATCTCTCCAGCCCCCATTCAGGGATTTTTTACACTTTTGATTTTTGTATGCTTGTTTTGTTTTGTTTTTGAGAGAGAAAAATCATGAAGTTGTGTGGGTTAGAAGGGGAGAAGGATCTGGAAAGTTTTAAGGGGATGAGGAAAAAGCATAATCAAAATATATTAGGTGAAAACAAATAAAAAGAAAGCAGGCTCATAGAAGATATAAGTAGGGTTAAGTTCAGAGTGAAAAAGGAATAAAGAATGCCCAAGAAGTGACATCAAGAGAAAAGAATGTTAGGTCAACGTATACACTGTGTGTTAAAGCTCATGTATGCGTCAATGTAAAAACACAACACTAATGAAAGCAGACAAAGAAACACACTGGACCCAAATACGAATGACCAGAGCTCAGGACTATAGAGTTTGCTTACGCCAAATCCCATGTTCCTATCTGGTAACAGTTTCCTGCAGTTTATACTTATGAATCAGGACATTTTACATCAGATAAGCAGGTCACAGAAAAGGGGGAAAATCTCATCTATGGGCCTTGGGGGCTATCAGATGACATTATAGCCTTTTGGTTGTTAGAAAATGGGTGATCAGTTTGTAGATTCCAAAGACTTTGCCTAATGGTCATAAAGTCATTTGCTTACAAATAGGGAGGACAATAAATCGTTATTAGGAGGGTGAGAGATGGCCCAGAGTAATTCAGCTCTGCACCTGCAACATTCCACCCTCTCTACACCATTGAAGTTCTAATCATTGAATAGCCTTTATAGTAGCAGCTTCTTTCCAGGAAATTTCATTCACATGTGTATATATATATATGCCTAGGTAGGTAAGTGTGTATATTATACACAAAGAGATCAATTTAAAATAGCAGCATATACATCATTGTGTGCCTCACTATTATTCATGGAACTGTAAGATCTCCAACACTTATCTTTCGCTTGCTGCATTTCTGGTATTAGAACACAAGTGATCCTCACATTTACTATCTGAATCATCAAACTTCTATGTGAGCTGTCTTTGTCCAGCCTCTCACAACTATGAATATGTATACAGTGGGAATGAATTGATCTAAATCATGTCAGATAGCAAAGGTGGGGAATTGCACCATAATTCTTTTCCATTAACTTCCAGATTCTTTTCATTAACGCTGTTAAACAGATTCAAGATGAAGCAAAATTACTCCCAAGGAACAGAAAATGAAAAATGCTCCACTGCAGTTCCTGGAAATTTGTATGATCTACCAATGACTTCATGCCATGTAACAGATTAACTCTGGTTTATTTTCAAGGAATTACAGGTCATTTTCCAGAGTTTACAATGGGGGTTGGTGCTCAAAGTTTCTAATAAAGTAAATGTTTAACAGACTGGATTACAGAAAAAAATATTAGCAGAATTTTTCGCTTACTTGTTATAAAACAGGTCCCTCCCTGATTCCAACAACACAACAAATCACAGTTCTATGACTGGTGTGACGTGAAGATGGACACATTAAGAAGAACTCAAAAACAACCCTATGTAGTGTGTTTCTGTGAAACAGAACTTTATTTCAATATTTATACTCCCCTGGGTGTAAGCATTTATGCTTCCCATTGGAGACAGTCATTCAGCCTCAATGGCCTTTCAGGATCTCTTGAATCAAGTCGGAAGCATGGGGAGATACCAGATCCTTCAGATGGCTTTCCTTCTGATTTGCAGTGCCATGGTGGCTCCTCATGTTTATTTGGAGAACTTTACTGCAGCCATCCCTGGTCATCGCTGCTGGGTCCACATCCTTGACAATGACACTTTCTCTGACAGTGACAGTGGAACCCTGAGCCAAGATGACCTCCTGAGGATCTCCATCCCACTGGACTCCAACCTGAGGCCAGACAAGTGCCGTCGCTTTGTCCAACCACAGTGGCATCTGCTTCATCTGAATGGCACCTTCTCCAATGTGACAGAGCCAGACACAGAGCCCTGTGTGGATGGCTGGGTGTATGACAGAAGCACCTTCCTCTCCACCACTGTGACTGAGGTAAGTGACTTCAATAATATCACCCCCTCAGTGACTTCATTACTACAGTCCGGCAATAGCACAAATAGTGTATGTTATTGGAGCTGACTTACTGCCTGGTTAAATGCAAGAGTCTTATTCAATAATTTTAATGACTCAAACATAAATAAAGATGTATGTTTCTGATCCTTTTGTTCAAGTAATGAGCTCATGTTAAGAAGTAATACTTGGAAGGAAATTAGACAACAGGACCATTTAGCAAAATAACAACAGTAGCTTCTTCCTCAGGATCAATCTCCTTCTATGTCATGGGATTCTAAGTGACTTTACATTTTCAGACATGACTTTCTTTCTCTGTAGAAGGTCAAATCCAATCAGAAATGGTTGTTTCATATAACAGTTATGTCACTATTGCACCAAAGACCACACTGTCATGTAGGTTGGTATTGTAGTGTGTAGGGTAAAGTACTAGGTAAGGCCATTGATATCCTTTTTCTACCTACAGTCTACATAGCAACATCTGCAACTATGAAAGGCAGCCAACAAGGAGAAAGTGTCCAGTTTGGTTTGACAGTGTTCTCCAAGTCATGCAAAAAAAAAATGTGTGTGCTGTCTTGAGGAACAGGGTCTTAACATTTAGTTACTGTAGGTAACCATGAGCAATAGTAACAACCTGTGTAGTTTTGGAGAACTGTGGGACCTCTCTGACTTGTAACTAGTATAACATTATTCCGTATGCCTGGCACTGGGATTACTGCTTTAGATCACAGGTATTTTTCGAGCATCATTGTCCAACCAAGTATTGTACTTCCTTTCAAATTCCTTATTTTAAATTATATTTTGAAATTAGCTTACTCAACAGGGAATTTGCGTAAAGTTTTACAGACACCCTTCAGAGAGATGCTGGAGGGAGGTGTTGGAGGGAAGAATGAGAAGAATGGAAGTAATGTGATTATATTTCAGTTTAAAATTTTTAAGATGAAGAAACATCCTTATACATGAACTCACAGAAATAGTGGTTACTTGCACAAGACCAGCACAAGGTCAAGCCAATCAAAATGCCAGCATAGATTGGAACAGAACTCAGAAGGCCCCACTCCTAGCTGAAGATCTATTAGGAGTTAATGGTTGCTAGGGGAAGGACTATTACCCTGCTTTGGGGGATGGCCAGTACTAGGTTACCTATGCTCCAGTGCACATACAGGCAACATTAAGCAAATAGTAAACTATAGAAAAAAAGATAAAGGACATGAGGTTTGGAAAGGGATGTTTTCAGAAATTTTGGAGGTAGTTGTAGGGGATATAAAGGTTGGATATAAGCATTCAAGGCTACCATGCAGCATAAAGGTAGTGTGTGGTTATCATATAAAGATTGTCTTTGTATATCAGCATAAAGTTGATCTTGGTAAATTTCCATACTTTAGCATTACTTCATTGCTCAATGGTCTTAGCCTCATCCTTCCACCAGGTCCTCCATTGTAATTGGGGACCCGTCTTTAAGACAGCTGTAACCAAATCAATTCAGTCTTAAGGGATAATTCTATTACAAGTTGACCATGACTTTAACATCAGCTTCAGATATGTGAATGTATACCATATGAGACTATTGCTTCTTTGAATCTCCTCAAATCTAACATTTGCACACGAATCTGATCAGCTCATGCACACTGGGCAGTTCCTGTAAGGTTACTGGATGAATTAAGATTGGCTGTTTGAAAGACTTAGGCTGTTTCTCCGTAATGTTATAATGAAATGTTGAGATTGGTTCTCCTTTAAATTCCTTTTTCTGGGTCTGAATATCTCTATAATCTGTTTTAATAAATTTTTCGAAGCTTTGTAAAAAAATCGATAAAGGTTGGATATTATCATAGAGCTTTGTATACATGTATGAAATTTCAAAGAATAAATTAAATAATAATCAGAAAATATATGTAAAAGACATAATTATTGTGTGTCTAATTAGTTTAAGTGCCCAAGTGTTGTGACAAGCAAGCACTATTCAGATTTGATTTAAATTTAAAACATATAGGAGGTTGTACAAAGCCACAGTTGTGACTACATATGAAGGTCCATGATAGAGTGCATCTGCAGCACTTGTGAGGATCAACATTCAGTACTGACCACTGCAAAAAAAATCCCAGTAGTTCACATTTTCTTATAGACCAGAATGTGGGTAATTGCTAGGACATTGCACCCATTCAATGACCCTGAGCTCCATCCTCTGTATTGCCAAAAGTTTACAAGTAAATAAGTAAAACAAAAACAATGATCAGGCTCTAGCTGTGCTGTACTCTGAGAGGAGTCATAGAAGAGGCTGTGCACTGAAGAATAGGATCTGGTAAGAAAAAAAATTAAGGTTGATTAATCATTGCATTCTAGAATCACTGTAAACAAATTTCTAAGAGGTCTTATTAAATAAAGAACATAGAGCCAAATATAGGGGTGAACACTAAAAGATCAGAGAAACAGCACAAGCCTTATCCAACCTCACCTTGCCAATTCCTCAGCTGATTTTGTTTGCTCAGACTGAAAGCCTCTGAGTCCTCATCCAAATAGATCTCAGATGAACTTCTGCTAGAAGCTAAAAACTAAAAAGGCTCTATTTCCTGGTCCTTATGCCTTATATACCTTTCTGCTTCCTGCCATCACTTCCTGGGATTAAAGGCGTGTGTCACCATGCCTGGCTGTTTCCAGTGTGGCTTTGAACTCACAGAGATCCATTTGGAACTCTGCTTCTGGAATGCTAGGATTAAAGGCAAGTGCCACCACTGCCTAAACCTATCTTTCATATTATGGCTATTCTGTCTCAGACCCCCAGATAAGTGTGCACAATATATCAACCACAGGCCACATTTGAGAATTCTTAGCACAGGTTACAAATAACTATAACCTATACAATTACAGAAAGACTACTGGGAACAGATTTATTTTTTATATATATATATATATAACTGGATAGTTGAAATCATGTAATAATGAAAAGGGAAGCTAGAGAGGAAGATGGGTTCAGTGGAATGGGAAGCTCATGTTGAATAATTTTGAACAAATTACAGTGACAGGCTGTCATGCTGATTTCCTTCTCTTCCAGTGGGACCTGGTATGTGGATCTCAGGTACTGGGTTCAGTGGCTAAATTTGTGCTCATGATTGGAATTTTGGTAGGAAGTTTCCTAGGTGGCCATTTATCAGACAGGTGAGTGTCTGTGCTTTGCAGTTCTCTCTACATATGAGTATTTTCATCATCTACAACTCATTCACTCTAGAAAACAGTCATTGCAGATTATGTATTATTCCTCTGGGTGTAACTTTGACCCTAGAGATCACGAAACACAAACAGACATTTGAGTTGGTGTTTAAAAGTCTGTGTGTTGTGTTGACACAGAACTAACATCCTGTTAAACATGGAAGAGGTCAAGAAAGATTAAGAGACAAAGAAAAACATGGTTTAGAGAAAAGTTAACTACAGGGATTACACAAAATGCTTCCTGTCTGTTCTTTTTAACAACTGCATTATTTCCCTGAAGGAGTCTTTGTCTTTTCCTCAGGTTTGGGAGGAGATTAGTCTTCACATGTGCTTTACTGAAAGTGGCCATCACTGGGACCTGTGCAGCTTTGGCTCCCACCTTCTCCATCTACTGCTTACTTCACTTCCTGAAGGGGGTTTGTGTCACACCCATATACATGAATAGTGTTTTGCTCAGTAAGTCAGAGCTTTAGATGGACATTGTTCAAGCTTTTGTTTGATGTGGATGTCCTTCCCACCATTAGTAGAAATCAAGATTCATTTTTCTTTCCTTTCAGTGGTAGAATGGACAAGCCCTAAATTCAAAGCCTTGGTGACAACATTGACACTGTGTGCTTCCAGTTTTGGAAAAATAGTAATGACAGGCCTGGCATTTGCATTTCGAAACTGGCACCACCTCCAGCTGGTAATGTCTGTGCCAATATTTTTCTTCCTTATACCCACAAGGTATGAGCTTTCTTTCCTCCTCTATGTTTTGCACTCCTGAGATGACCATGTCCATTAAATTGGCACATAAGAAATGCATTTGTCACTGCCTCTGTGAGCTCATATATGTGTCAGTCCTGTTGCGTCTGGAAGACAATGTTTCATTGTATCCTTGCTTCTCTGGGTGATATAATTAGGAGAAAATTATTCTTGGGTTCTTAATTTAGGGAACAGACATATGATGAATAAATATTCCCTACAGCCTAACAAGAAATTTGGAGATTATCTGGAGAAACATCCTTCACATTCTAGTTCTATGACCTCCATTAAAACTTGTTTCCAAGTGAGGGGGACAGATCAATGTGACTCAAGGTCTTCATTCTAGGAGTGCAGATGCACTGCAAGCCTGAATAATTTCTGGTTTTCCTAGGCAATGTACCCCATGATATAAGATTATACATTTTGTTATAACTGAATAACTGATAGGTATTCGATTTTAACACAACTATTCAAGAATAAATTTAGTACAGTAAATGACTTCTTGAGAATTTATGAACAAATATCTTGTTGAGTAGGTGGCTGTCAGAGTCAGCTAGGTGGCTGATTGTGAACAACAAACCCCAGAAGGGCTTACAAGAACTTAGAAAAGTTGCATGCAAGAATGGAGTGAAGAATTCTGGAGATGCCCTAACCATGGAGGTGAGCATAATGCAAACTTGTTATGGCATAAAGGAAATACAAGCTTAATATGTGTATGAGTTAGTGTCCAGGAAACAATGTGCCATTATTAAATCATTGAATACAGTTCTTTCATTCAAAGAGGACTTTGTATAAAAAAAAAAAAAAAAAAAAAAAAAAGAAAATCCTTCCTTGATGATTACTTTCACTTTTAAACTTCTTATTAGGATATAGAAGTTATATATAATGCATTGTCTGAAATTTTATGCATGCATATAATGCCTTGATTTATTTATTCCCCCTCATTATTACCAAACCTAATGATTCTCATATACTTCTAACTAGTCCTATTTCTACCTTCTAATATCCTATCAATCTTTTTGTATCTTCTTTTTTGTGATCTAATTTGTCTAGTTTAGGTCACTTAAAGAAACATGTTGAGGATTTACCACAGTAACATGGGCAACTTAGATGTGGGTACATGACTGAACAAATGTCTATTTATCTCTCAGCAACCATTAGCTGCCAATATATCCTCAGGAGGGAGTATGGCTTTATGAGCCCCTATGCACTAACAATTACTAACTACATACAGGTTGTGAAATGGAGATGGGACTCATGAGCTCTTCACTCAATAATGTTAGCATTCAGACATGCCCCTTGGGGACCCGCCCAGCATCCTGACAACATCATCTTGTGTAAAGTCCTCTTTAAGAGAAAACCCCTCCCCCTTCTCTCTCTCTCTCCCTTCCTTTCTCCAGTCAGAAAAGGCACACACACACACACACACACACACACACACACTCTATCTCTCTCTTTGTGTCTGTCTCTGTCTCTTGATCCTCTCTTCTTTCTCCATCCCTCCCTCTCACTCTCTTTCTCTACCCTCTCTTTCAGTCTCTCTCTCTTTTCCTCTCTTTCCCTCCATTCCCTTATCCCTTTCCCCCAATAAAACATTCCACGTTGGTGCTGTGTCTGCATGGTGTGAGTGACTTTCCGCCATGCCCCCTTGGCTGCTGCCGGCCATGTCTGCATGGTGTATCTCCTTCACCTGCCTTGGAGCACATTGGCTAAACCCACCAAGGACTCTCTCCTGCCATTTTACCAAAAATATACCATCTACCTCCACAGACGGTATATTGACTGGCATAACTTTGGTAAGTCTTATGCAAGTAACCACAGCTGATGAAAGTTCATCGTTCAATGCATGTCTATAAGATAGAACCACACATTTTCCACCACTTCTTCTAGACCTTTCCTCCCCCTTTTCCATGGTGTTTCTGTAACTGGAAGGGGTGATAGAGACATTTCCTTAGAGATAAACACTGAATAGTCACTTACTTTGACAATTGTGAGTCTTCAATGACTTCTACTCACTAAGTACAAAATCTTTATTAAGGCTGACAGGAGGTCTAACCTATGGCCATGAACAAAGATATTTAAAGACTACTTAATTTTTTAGTGCTTAGAAGATTCCATTATGAGCCCCAGATGCCAGACATGGACCTTCAGTATTAAATGTTTTCATTTCTGAGGTTCAGTCCTGCATAGGTACAGTCATTTGTTCTTATATCCCCACACTTCTCTTTTGAAATAGGAACATTTATTCTGTTCCCTTGAATACTAGAAGTAAATCATCTAGTTTATTATGTAAAAGTTTGAATTATGAAGGGAAAAGCATTGTTGACATATTTTATTGATTTTCAAAATAAAGAAGTATTTCACAGGGCACTGAGAAAAAAAGAGACTCCCTTGAGTCTCAGATGAACCTTGGACTTTGGACTTCTAAATGATTTGTATTTCTCCATAGACTAATTCCTATCAGAACATGGAGATAAGAGTTAGAAAGTTATGGCTCAAAGGTGATGTGTTCTGATGTGAAGCTGACAAAAAGTAGAGCTGTGGTGGTTAATTGTGATTGTCAGCTCAACAAGATCATCTAGGAGAAAACCTCCAGGCACATCTGGAAGGGATGACTTAGTTTAGTTCACCTCTGGTCATGCCTCTGTGGGATTATCCTGATTATGTTAACTGAGGAGGGAACATCCACTCTAAAGGACAGAAGACCAGCCCTGAACTTGCGTCTCTGAGTATACGAACAGAAACCTAGCTCAGCATAGGCACTCATGACTCCCTCTTCTTCACCATGTCACGACCAAATGCTGTGCAGTCTTGAATTTCCTCTGTAAATAAATTAGTGCACTGCTTTGACTTCAGCTTCCCTCACACTTTCAGAACATGGTCAGAATACTGCCAGAATTTATTATCGTTTTTTGTTGTTCCTCAAAAGGGAAAGATAAATGTTCTCCTCCCAAATTCTCAATGATATGCCCTTTCCCATCTGAAATCTCAAAGAGAAGACCTTCACTGTTAAGATTTGTATCAGCATCAGTATAGTGAACTTCCAAAGAAACATTCTCTCTACCCTGCCTCTGAAAACTCTCCCAAAATCCACCACCAAACCACAACACATGGTCTACACCATGGTCAGATTTTTTTTTTAAATTTTATTTTATAATTTAACTTAATTTTACATATCAGCCATGGATTCCCCTGTCCTCCCTGCTACCGCCCCCCCCGCCCTCCGCCCGCCCCCCCCTGCACCTCCCCCCACCATCCTCCCAGCCCACCCCCATTCCCATCTCCTCCAGGGCAAGGACTCCCCTGGGGATTCAGCTCAACCTGGTAGATTCAATTGAGGCAGGTCCAGTCCCCTCCTCCCTTCACCCAGGCTGAGTAAAGTGTCCCTGCATAGGCCCCAGGTTCCAAACAGCCAGCTCATGCACTAAGGACAAGTCCCGGTCCCACTGCCTGGGGGCCTCCCAAACAGTTCAAGCTAATCAGGTGTCTCACTTATCCAGAGGGCCTGATCCAGTTGGGGGCTACTCAGCTATTAAGAATAACAACTGCACATATGGCACCCAATTATTTTGTTGGCAACATTTGCTTTGCTATGACCAAGATCAATGTGACCAAACCTATAAACAGAAACAACAAAATGGAATAAAAAGGGTTTGGGCTCACGGCTCACAACATTCAGTTAATCATAGTGAACAGGCATGGCAATACTGAGACAGGACTTCGTGGCAAATGCTCATCACATCATGGTGGTGCCTAACCAAAGGCAGCTACCACCTTCAAAGCCCCCCCACCATGAGGTTAAGATTTACCTCCTGAGAGCTCCTCAGCCTCTGAACATACAACCAGCCAGAGACCCAGCATCTCAATATCACACTATGTATTCTTCAAGGAAATATCAGAACTTCAAAATGGACATAAAGACCTTGAAAGGAATTCATTTTTCTGTGTTTATTTTTCCATCAGTGATGGGAATGACTAAACATGGGGTGCTCATTAAAGAAGAATGAGACAAAAAGAAATAAAGCAAAGAAAACCGGCAGACATGTGCACAAACACATGAATGCACAAATCAGAGAACCATACTAAGTTGCTATATCATTCAAATTCTTTATGATATGAATGGAGATTTGGACCAGAATATAAATAACTCTTTACTTGCTGTCAACATTCTGTAGCCACCTACTGTTTAAAAGGTCCTCTCTAGATATAACAAAAGTTTCCTTTAACTCTTGGCTCTCACTTCTTAACATTTTTATTATGCTTGCCATAAGTCTCTTGATGTCTGTGTTTTCAATAGACAGAAGTAGTTGTAGTAGAATATTTTAAGGTGTGTTACTTCTGTTTATATTGCATTTGTTTCACTCTGTGAAGCCGTGTTATCATGCCTGTATAAAACACCTGATGGTTTAATAAAAAAAAAAAAAACTGGCCAGTAGCAACGCAAGAGAAGGGATAGATGGGGCTGGTAAGCAGAGAGTATATATAGAAAAAGAAAACTGGAAGAATAGATGGAAGATCGAGCAGCCGGAGGAGGAGGACTCCAAGGGCCAGACATCCAGCTCCACAGCAAGCAACAGAGTAAGAGTAACATTTACAGAAGTTAGAGAAAAAGAAAGGCCCAGAGGTAATAGGTAGTCAGGTTATTTTAAGTTTAGAAAGCTGGCCAGAAACTAAGCCAAGCTAAGGCCAGGCATTGATAATTAAGAATAGGCCTCCGTGTGGAGTTTATTTGGGAGCTGGGTGGCGGGCCTCCCAAGAAAAGAGTGAGAACAACAACATCTAGTAGATTCTGGCCTGGTATTCTGTGAGTGCCCAGTATGCTCCAAAATGGTCATCATTTTGTGAAAACTAAACAGTTCTTGATGCTCTTCCTGAAGGTTGTGAGAACCACCATGAGGGGAGAGCTGGAGGCAACACAAACAAAACCTTCTCTACGTGACTTATTCCGCGCCCCCAACTTGCGAAAGCGTGTGTTTCTCCTGTGCCTTTTGAGGTACGCTTCATACAGTGACTCTTAAAACAGTAGAGAGATGAATTTTCCCAACAACAGAGTTGAAGATAAAAATGAGGGATTTCTGTATGTGGTGGTATTCTAGAGGTTTGGAATATAGAAGCACAGAACTAACTATAGAGTGAGGGGTATTTTTTTTTACAGCACCCTGGCAAGGTTGTCAATGCAGACTTACGATGAATCTTCAATCATGTTCCAGACTTCTCTGCATTTGCCATTTGTTATTCTCCATTTCAAAGGAAATAAAATGTCTAATGTAAATCACATATGTATATACATTTCAATAATATATACAAATGTAAAGTGATAATATCCTCACTTGGGAAAAGCCCTGTTAAGGACCCAGTCCACTTGCAAATGAAAAATTAGTTTTCTCCAATGGAGTCTCACTAGGGAAACAAACCACTCTTAAGGGTAGGCCCTATTCCCAACAGTACATGGCCAGCACAAAAAAACCACAATGGTATCTTTGGAGGGTTTTTTGTTTCATATTGTTGTGTCAGGGCATTTTTCTAATCTTACAAATCATTTCTGTATACATTATGGCTTCCTGTGTTTGTATAGGATCCTGTGTGTGTGAACATGTGTGTCTCTGTATCTATATGTGTTTGTTATGCTTTACTCTTTTGCTCTTTTGTTCTATCTGTTCCTTTGTCCTATTCAGAACTGTTTTTGTTTTATCTCACCTTAGTTTATTATGATTCCTTAGATGCCTGTGTGCTTTCTAAAAAGAGACAGAAAGGATGTGGACCCACATGGAAGGGAAAGTGAGGAAGAACTGGGAAGAGTTGGGGGGATTTAATCAGAATATGTTATATTAAAATATACCTATTTTAATGAAAAGAAGCCATGAAGCTGGGAGTGGTCAGGATGTGCAAGTGGGCTCGGGAGAAATTGTGAGGAAGAATTAGGGAAGAACATCATCAAAATACATTGTATTCATTTGTGAAAGAATTAAGAAAATATTTTTAAAATTAAAAAAACTTTATAATCTTCACTAAGATCAAGTTAGAGAAAAAAACTCTTAAAAGCTGATTGGATCTATCATGCATTTCACAAATACTCTGCCTCTCCTTAAAATTCCAACAATAATATGTCCTGTCAGGATACAATGATTTTATGATGATTATTACATCTTCGCTCAAGTAAATACAAATAGGTCAAAATACAGATAGGCCATCATACTTTAACAACTAACACTATCTTCTTGAGATGATCATCTTCTTGGCTTTGGACGTCAACTCTAAGTAGTATGATGTGACTCTCCTCTTTTTTTCTTACAGATTTACAATAGCAATTCCTATATTTGGCTTCAGCATCCATCTCCAACACCTGAAAAGTAATGTCTTCCTAATGCAATGTCTCTCTGCTGCAATGTCCATCCCAGCCTGTGTTGCTGCAATGTTTTTACTGAACCACATTGGCCGTAGAATAAGTCAACTCTTTCTCAGTTTCCTGTTTGGAATCACCATCCTGGCTATAGTGTTTGTTCCTGAAGGTAAATAAAGAGCTTACAGTGAGAGAGGAAAAAATATCCAGTCCCTTTCATCAGTGTTTTTCAGGTCCTACTTATCAGAAAAAAAATACATCCAGAGATTTTTCTGAAAGCAGACATTTAGGAACTTTCCTCCATTCAGACATTGAGAGAAAAGCCAAAATCAGTAAGTGGTTTAATTATAAAAAGTCTAATACATTCAAGAAGTATCTGGGACATTGGAGCCATTTATTCCCAAGTTTCTACAGGTCAGTAATAAATCATTTATGCATTGTTCAAGTACATTTTTGATTAAAATGTAATTACATCATTTTCTGCTTTATTGCCCTCTCTCCAATCCCTCGGAAGTATCTGCCCCTCCCTCATTCATTCTCAATGACATTTCATAGCAGTCATGTGGTTTCAGCTCTTATAATTCTGATCCCAAATGATCTAAATGTACTGTCACATCCTCTGTCCCACTGAATCTTGTTGCTTCAACTTCAGTGACAAGGTGTTTCCCAAACTGTATGAATGTAGTCATGACTCTCGGGACACTGCAAGTACAAACCTAATTTGGAGATTTGTATCAAGATAATAAGCATTGCTTGTGTTGAAGTACAAACCAATTGCAAGGAAGTAAGAGTGGTCTAGGCAGCAGGACTGCCAGGCTGAACCTGGTGGTGTTATGTGGATGTGGGCAAGGAGCACAGTTCCCAGGCAGTCCTGAAGTTTTGCTGAAGCTCGGGACTGTGGTATGTTTTAAAACTCTGCACAACTCTTGAATGTCTGTAGCAACTCCCTTATTCTTGAATCATGAAACACCATTTCAAATCAAACTGATTCCCAGCTTGCCACATCTCTCCTTCCATGGCACTCTTCTACCATATTGAAATAGAAAATGAATAAATATCTCATGTGCATATTTGGAGTCAACCAAAATGCAAGTGCCATGAGATATACAACTTCTATTCTTCTAATTTTTATTATGTTTTTATAACATTTCCTTTGGTTTCTGACATTCATGCAGGTGTAGATAGAATGTACTATGGTCAGGTTCATCCTCCATCATTCTTATCCATGGCACACTCCTGAATATTCAAATGCCTACACAGTCCTCTGTAATTTCCCCATGACAGCCCTACATTCTGTTGGAAGGACAGTGAGATGCTGGGTAGAAAACAGGAAAGTCAATGAGTATCTCCTTGATTCATCAAGCTCTCTACTTCTGAAATGTGTCAGAGAATCCAGGTGTAGGAATACAGTGAACCACAGTGTTGATTCTCCATAAACCAGTACATGCAGCTGGGTCACCTTCCTTAAATTATTACCCACTGAGGACTTTTCCTCTTGCAGTTTCTCCACTCTGTATTCCCCACTTACAAGTGGAAAGTGAATTCCTTCACCTCAGAATGACCACTGTCCCTGATTTTCCTCTCCACAGAAATGCGGACCCTGCGTGCAGTTTTGATAACACTGGCAGGAGCAAATTATGTTGTGATTGCTGGCAGTAATATTCTACACTCGAATGAGCTACTCCCCACAGTGATCAGGTACATGACTTGGTGTAAACATCTGGGTAGTTATCAACAGCAATCAATAGTAGTGATTACAGGAATGACTAAAGTTTCTAAGAAGTTTGCTTTTTGCAAGATAAATTAGTTCAGATGTCATCCAGCTGTATCAACTAATAAAGATCTCATGGGGATATTTGGAGCTACCCAAAACATAAGTGTTATGAGAAATAAGACCTCTGTCCCTTTCATTTATAATTAGGTTTTTATGACATTTATTTTGTTTTAGCAGTTTCATGCAGATACAGACCGTACTGTGGTTGCATTCACCCTCTATCACTCTGACCTGCATGCCATTCATGCTGAATTCCTTCTTCTCAGCTGGTGCCACATCTACCGTTGCATCTTTGTGTTCCTGTGGGGGGGTGTGCATGCTCACACATGTACACATGCACTTGAGCACTCCTGCATGTGCTCATGTACATGCCTTAAAGTGGGTGTGAGCAATGGATCTGGTCATCACATTTTCAAATACGTTTTCATCCCTTTGTTCCCTCTTCTGCAAGCCGTTCTTCCTGCCAGTAGAACCCCTTGTCCTCGTCATTTCAGATCAATGCCAACTTCTCAGCTGATGCTGTTTCCTCAGACTGAAAGCCTCTCAGTCCTCATCCAAATGGATCTCAGCTGAACAGTTGCTAAAAGCTTAAAAAGACTCTAGTTCCTGGTCCTCACACCTTAGATACCTTGCTGCTTCCTGCCATTACTTCCTGGGATTAAAGCCATGTGTCTTTCCCAAGCAAGACATGAGATCTCAAGTCCTGGGATTAAAGGTGTGTGCCACCACGCCTGGCTTCTATGTCTGTCTAGTGGCTGTTCTGTTCTCTGACCCCACATAAGTTTATTGGGGTGCACAATATATCAACCACAAACGTACTTTTCTTTCTGAGCTGTGTGATTTCATACATCTAAGTCCATCCATTTTCCTACAAATGTTGTAATTTCATTTTTCTGGAGAGCAGAGTAGTATTCCATTTTTATATGTATTTATACAGCACATTTTCATTAACCATTCAACTGTTCCAGAACAACTACTTTCATTCCAGTTCTTTCCTATCATAAATACGTCAGCAATATACATGAGGGTGCAGATATTTCTATAACAGTATCTGGAGGTCTAAGGGTTTATGTCCAAAAGTGCAATTACTGGGTCCTTTGGTAGTTATAGTCTTAACTTTTTGAGAAATCTCCAAACTAATTTCCTCAATGGTTGTATTAATTTGTACCATACCAACAGTGAATTAGTGATCCTTTCTCAGCACATTTTCTCAAGTATTTGTTGTCAGATTTCTTGATGACAGTTATTCTGATCAAGGTGAGGTGATATCTCAAAGTAGTTTAAATTTGTCTTTCCTATACTACTAGGGATAATGAACATCTTTTAAAATACTCTTGGCCATTTATGTTTCTTTCTTTCTTTTTAAAAGCTATCTATTCAGTATATTTGCCCAGTTTTATTTATTTGATGTTTAATTTCTGCACTTTATAAATTCTGGATATTTCATCGTTTTCTGAAGTGTAGCTGGTAAAGCTTTTCTCCAAAGCTGCAGGCTTTTGTCTCTTTACTCTGCTAATCATTTCTTTTGCTGTGCAGAAATTTTATTTTCACTTAGTCTCATCTGTTGGTAACAGGATTTGATTTCTGTGTCATTGTTGTTCTATTGGTGTTTGGAAAGTTGGCTTGCCTCAGTATCTTAAATGGTCTCCCTTATGTTTGTTCTAGACATTTCAGATTTTAGGTTTAAAGTTAGAGGTGTTTATTCAATTTTGAAATGATTTTTACACAAAGTGAAAGAATCAAGTGTTATTCTTCTGCTGATACTTGGCTAGCACCATTGGTTGAACAGGTTATCCTTTTTCCAGTGTTAATTTCTTCCTTCCTTGTCAAAACTCACTTTGATTTTTTTAGCATACTTTTGTCATTTTATTTCCATATCCTCTATTCTTTTCCATTGGTCTTCTGTGTCTGCTTTTATGTGAGTCCCAGGCAGTCTTTTTCACTATAGCTCTATAGTGTAATATGAGACTGAGTATTAGAATACCCCCAGCATTGTTCTTACTCTTAGGATTCCTTTCACTATTCACAGCCTCTTGTGGATCCATATGAATTCTTGTATAGTTTTTTTCTAAACATGGAAAACATAACACTTGAATTTTGATAGGTATTATATTTATTCTGTAAATTAATTTTAGTAGTATAGCCATTTCCACAATATTAATTCTGTTAACTCAGGAATGTAGAATGTCTTCCAATCACCTACCTTCTTTTATTTCCTTCATACCTTTAATTTTCATTGTAGAGGTCTTTCACCTCTTTGGTTAGATATATTCCTAAATCCTTTTTTGGGGAATTGTTTTGAATGGGATATATTTACTAGTTTCTTTCACTGAGAGTAGACTGATAGTATAAATAAAGGCTACTGACATTTTATAATGATTTCTGTTCTGTGACATCACTGTAAGTACTTAGTAGGTCAAATAGTTTTCTGGTAGAGTCTTTTAAGATCTTTTGTCAAGGTCTGTCAGAATCCAGCGCTGACCTGTCAAAAGGCTCTTGGGGGAAGGAGAGGAGAATGAGGGAGTATTAGATAGAAGATAAGAGATGATAAGAAATACAGAGACACAGGATAGCTTCGTGAAGGCCCGGGGTCAATACCCAGTCACTTGGAGTTTATTCCAAAAAGCTTTTTATACAATGCCAAGGAGCAAGGCAAAAAACCTCCCCCTTTCAAGATCAAACCTCAACGTACAGCCAAGTGCAGACCCTTCAGAACACCTGGTAACCATGCCTGTGGCCAAATCATTTCATTATGCAGCCATAGTAGGTAAAGCAAGCTCAGATTCTCTGACCTTGAGTAAGGTCTTAATAGGAAGCCTCTGTGGACATCCACAATCTATTAAGTAAAGAATCATGTCATATGCAAATAGGGACAATTTGACTTCTTCCTTTACTGATGTTATCTGTTTTATGTGTTTCTCTTGTCCTAGTTGCTATAGCTAAAACTTCAAGCACTATATAAAAGAGAACAGTATGTGCATTCTTGTATCATTCTTGATTTTAGAAGTATTGCTCTCAGTTTTTCTCCTTGTAATTATTGTATGTAGCCCTTATTATTTTGAGGTATGTTCCACATATTCCTAAAGTTTCCAGAACTTTTATCATTGAACCATAGTGAACTTGTGAAGTGCCTTTCCAGCATCAACTGAAATAACTATGTGATTTGTGTCCTTCAGTTGGTTTATATGGTGTATTATGTTTTTTTCCTCAATTTTTTTTAAAATTTTTTTTATTCTTTTTTTTTTTTATTTTGCAATACAATTCAGTTCTACATATCAGCCATGGATTCCCTTGTTTTCCCTCCTCTCACCCCCCTCACCTTCCCCCCAGCCCATCCCCCATTCCCACCTCGTCCAGGGCAAAGCCTCCCCCGGGGACTGAGATCAACCTGGTAGACTCAGTCCAGGCAGGTCCAGTCCCCTCCTCCCAGGCCGAGCCAAGCGACCCTGCATAGGCCCCAGGTTTCAAACAGCCAACTCATGCAATTAGCACAGGACCCAGTCCCACTGCCTGGATGCCTCCCAAACAGATCAAGCCAATCAACTGTCTCACCCATTCAGAGGGCCCGGGTGGAGTTCTGGGAGTCCAATTAGTGAGAAAGAAGAGGGTTTATATGAGCGAGAATTGTTGAGTCCAAGGTTGGATAAAGCACAGGGACAAATAGCAAAACAAATGGAAACACATGAACTATGAACCAATGGCTGAGGGGTCCCCAACTGTATTATCTTTTTGACTTTTGAACCAACCTTGCCTTCCTGGGATGAAATCCACTTGGTCACAATATACAATCTTCTTCATGTATTCCTGAATTCAGTTTGCAAGTATTTTGTTAAGATTTTTCATATGTTAATCAAAGAAATTGGTCTCCAGTTTTCTTATTTTTTCTTTCTTTTATAGTGTTTTTACATGGTTGTGGTATCAGGATATTACTGGTTTTATTAAATGGATTTGATAATACTCCTTCATTTTCTATTTTATGGAACAAATTAAGAAGGGTGGGTCTGGTGTCTTCCTTGAAAGTTTAATGGAATTCAGCAGTGAATCCATCTGGTCCTAGGCTTTTCTTTGAGGGAAGACTTTTAATAACAGTTCCAATCTCATTGCCTGTGATGGATCTGTTTAAGTTTTCATGTCTCAGGGGTTTAAGTTTGGTAGGTGATATTCGTTTAGAAGTTCCTTTACCTCTTATAGATTGTCCAATTTTTCAGAGAATAAGTTTTTGCAATCAGTTCTAATGATGTTCTGTATTTCACTGGAATCAGTTGCAATGACACACTTCTGAGCTCTGATCTTACTAATTTTCATCGTCTCCCCCTTTGTTTTTGTCAGATTAGCTAGGGGGTTGTCAATCTTATTAACTTTTTGAAAGAACAAACTCTTTGTTTGGCTTTGTAAACTGTTCTTCTAATCTCAATTGCATTAATTTATTCATTACTCTTTATTATGTCTTGCCATCTAGTGTGTTTAGAATTGGCTGCTTGTTGTTTTGAAGACCTATGAGGTACATGATTGAGTATTTAATTGATATGTCTCAGATTTTCATATGAAAGTTTGTTGCTATAAACTATCCTCTTGGGACTGCCTTGGCAGCATTCCAGATGTTCTGATAGGATGTGTTATCATTTTCACTTGTATCTAGGAACTTTTTAATTTCCTCTCTGATTTCTTGGTGACCAACTGTTCATTCAAAAACGTGTTGTTTTCTCATGGACTATGGGGGTCATGCCCCTCGACAGTCCCCTCCCAGAGTCTGGGAAGAATCTACAACCAGATGATAATTAATCTTTGATGATAAGAAATGAATCTATGTGTGCAAAACTCCTTACACTGTGTCAGTTCTCTCTCTTCACAGCTTCAATTCTGCTCTCATGCCTAGCTCCTTTCTTGCCTGATTTCTTTTTATATTTATCTGCTGTCTCCTCTAAATTCTACCTTAATTCTCTCATATTAGTTCTGCCCATCTAAGTTCATCCATCTAGTTCCTTTCCATCTTAGCTCATCTCCCATCTCTCTTTTTTTTTTTTTTTTTGAGACAGGGTTTCTCTGTGTATCTTTGTTCCTTTCTGGGAACTCACTTGGTAGCCCAGGCTGGCCTCAAACTCATAGAGATCGACCTGCCTCTGCCTTCCGAGTGCTGGGATTAAAGGTGTGCGCCACCACCGCCAAGCTAAAGGAATGAAGGACAGTCTACTACATGGAAGAAGGGAACCGAGGTCTTTTCTTTTTCATCTTGTTCTTCCTCATCTTGTTCTTCCCCATCTGGCTCTTCCTCATCTTCCATCTTGTTCCTCTAGTACTCTCTCTAGCCCTTCAATCTAGTTCTTTCCCATCTAGTTCATTCCTCTCCAGTTCTTACCCATCTAGTTCTTCCATTTTCTTTTCTCTTCTCCATCTCATCCTCAAGTTCTCTCTCCCAAAATCCTCCTCTAAGTTTCCTTATACCTCTCCATGCCCTCATCTCTGAATTATTTAGTTATAAATCCAAGCAATGGCAATCCTCTGGCAGAGCAAGGTCACCAGGCTTGATTTCTTGATGATCATAAAGGCAGATAAGAGTTTTCCCCCAGGCAGTGACCATCTGGTAAAGGAGGAGGTCAACTGAGAGCTAATGAATGGTTAGTATATCAGAAAAGGGGAATTTATGAGCTCAAATACATCCTAGAAGTGGTTAGGTAAAAATGTTAGGAGTCTATAATGTTAGAAAGGCTGTATAAGAAAGGAGGGTCTCAGCTAAAATTGCACAAGAAATAAAGCTATCTGCCTGACCTAAGAAACAGGCGTCATTTCTACAAGGGTGTTACCTTAATTCAGGAGATCCTTTGGCCTTAGATGATTTATAGGTATTTTAGATAAATACACTGTTAGGAGTTCTTGGAAGCACACATAGCATTACAAGAAAATCATTGAAGGAACAAGGAAAATATAGACAAATGTTAAATTATCACCAAGACTTCTTAAGCCATGGCTTGACCTTCAGAAAAGTCCTTGAACTTTCAAGTAGTAGCTTTTGTCATAGTAGCTGAATTCCATTACAATTTCCTAGGGCACGAAGCATTATTTAGAGTCCAAGTATGTTTTGTGGATTCTGTAGGTTCTCTTATGGTTGATTTCTGGTTTTATTGATTATGGTCTGATAGGAGACAAGGAATTGATTTAATTTTTCACTTCTTAGATTTGGCTTCTGTCCTATGACATGACCAGTTTTGGAGATGGTTCCATTTACTGCTAAAAAAAAAAAATACATATGTCCTAAATGTTGCATGGAATATTCTGTATATATATGTTAAGTTAAGTTCATCCATAGTATACATTAGCACTAAAGTGCTGTGGGATGGTCTGTATGTCAAATGTGTTGCTGATTGGTCAATAAATAAATCACTGATTGGCCATTGGCTAGGCAGGAAGTATAGGCGGGACAAGGAGGAGAATAGAGCTGGGAAGTGGAAGGCTGAGGAGGAGACACTGCCAGCCGCCATCAGGATAAGGAAGATGTAAAGTACCGGTAAGCCACAAGCCACGTGGCAAGGTATAGATTAATGGAAATGGATTAATTTAAGCTGTAAGAACAGTTAGCAAAAAGCCTGCCACGGCCATACAGTTTGTAACCAATATAAGTCTCTGTGTTTACTTGATCGGGTTTGAGCGGCTTGGGACTGGCGGGTGATAGAGATTTGCCCTGACTGTGGGCCAGGCAGGAAAACTCCAACTACACTAAAGTCTGTATTTATACTTTGGAAGACCTAACTAAATTTGAGAATAGAGTATTAAAATCACTCACTACTATAACATCAGAACCTATAGATATTTTATGTCTTTTTAATGTTCATTTTATGGAATTAGAGGCTCCAATATTTGGTGCATAAAAGTTTACAATTGTATATTATTTTGTTTACTTGTTTGTCTTATTAATACATAGTGTCCACTTCTATCTCTTCTAAGTAGCTTTGATTTGAAGTTTGGTTTGCATGATAGCTACACCTGCTGGTTTACAATTGCTTGGCAGTTTGTTTTCCATCATTTGACAGTGAGTGTTTTAGTATTTGCTGGATGAGATGTTTCTTGGCCACAACATACATTTGGTTCTTGCTTTTTTAATTCTCTGAATTGTTCTGTGTCTTTTTAGTGGTGAGTTCAAGATAATTACACTTAAGTTTATTATAGAAATAGTTGATATTTCCTAACAATTTGTTAGGTGATAGTCTGGATTTCTGCATTATTGATTGGCCAGAACCTGAAGAAATAAGGATCCCAGATGGAGAGGTGTCAAGAGGGGAGGACAACGGGTGAGAGTATAATGAAGACAGAAAGCTGGGATCAGGAGGTCTACATTAGCTGATGACTCATGACAGCAAGTTGAATGAAAAGGTACAGCATCCAAAATACTGTTTGCAGGGGGAAATGGGACAGAGTCATCAGAAAGCTAACACATGATGGAATAAAGTTAACAAGAACCTAATCAAGCAATGTTGTGAAAAGAGATCACAAGATATGTCACAGACCAATTACAAAGAAGCCTTGGGACTAATAAGACCCAGCTCCAGACAGGACCCTGCCAAGTCTGCCCCTAGACAAGGACACAGAACTAGCATTCTCTTTGTACTTTCATCAAGGCAGTTAAGAAAGGCTTGGACAGGCCTGGATCCCAACAGTTGATATTTATTTTCTTCCTCCAATATTGATTTTGAGGGTTTGCTGGGTTGCGATGGTGGACATAGTTGTTTCTTTCCCAAATGTACTTTATTCATCTGTGTTTTTGATTAAATGTATGCATGCATGTATTCATTTGAAGAAAGCTGCCTCTCATCTCCCTCCTTGCAAATCATTACCTAAGAACTTTCTGCATTGCTCACCTGGTTGTCAGGAATCATTTTAATTTGTATTTGTCTTGAAATGCCCTCATTTCTCCATTAGTTTTGAAACATAAATTTACTGGCTGTAGTGTTTTTGGCTCACAATTGCTTATTTTCAAAGCTTGGAATATTTCATTTGATGCTCTTCTGACTTGTATGGTTGCTGGCAACAAGTCTGGGGTAATTAAGCACTGGGGCCTTTGTATGTGAGTGGAGGCCTTTCTCTTGCTGCTTTCAGGATTCCTTCGTTACTTGTATTTTGACATTCTGACTATAATATATCATGGAGTATTTCTTCTCTTATTTTGTCTGTTCAGAGTTCTATAAACGTCTTGAATTTGGATGTGTGCCTTCTGTACATTGGGGAGTTTTCTGCTATAATTCACTTAATGGTCTGTCTATTCCATTTCCTTTTTCTTTTTCTTCTTCTATATCATGAATTCTTGGGCTGTTGGACATGTCCCAGGTCCCATTGGGATATGCTGTTCTAGTGCTTTTTCTAGGAGGAATGTCTACATGGCTGGGGGACTGAGGAAACATGATGATATTGAATGAGTTGATGAAGTTGTCATGGTTGTGTGCCCGAGGACAAAGGGTGGGGCTAGACACTAAGCACCAAAGTGACCAGCTGGAATCAAATCTTGGCCTTTTAGATTCTATGAACCTGCTGGAGGCAAGATACCAAACTTAAGAAGTGAAATCTGTCTGCTATCAGAGGGATGTGGTTGACACCACAGGACAAAGTAAACTATAGGACTACAGAAATATAGACTCTTGGTCATGCAGTGACCTTTAACACTGGAAACTTCAGAACTCTGCACCAATAATGACCTCAGAGATGACTAAAACCAAAGCTCCAGTTTCTCAAGGGATGCTGGGAACACTGGAGACAACTCTGCACTGAACTCTGAGAGCACTGGGCTGCAGACCAGGTTGCAGGTTCCTCTGTGACCCCGCAATAATGGGAAGCCTGAGTGCCTTGTGCTCTCTGGTCCTGTTGCAGCTGGAGGTCTGATCACTTGGTGATCTATTATCTCTCAGAAACTTAAGGTTGGTTACCCAGAGCTCAGACTTCCTGAAAACTGGAAACCTGAACACCTGTTCCTCTCTGGTCCTACAGAAACACCTAATCTCTTCTCCTTTAGTGATTTTTTTTCTGCCTACTTCCTGTTGACATTCCTAGTTTCATACCCTATACCCATATCACACGTACACACACAAACACACACACTTCCATAAAAGCTAAAATGTAAGATCTGCATGTAAGAGAACATATGTGGTATTTATCTTTCTGAGCACGTTATAAATGACTTTATACTTTGACCTTGACAAAATTACTATCAAATAAACAGAAATTTCCAAAGCAAGTAACCAGTATCTTAAGTTAAAATATGCTGCACATTGAATCATAGTTAATGTAATCACAAATACATTGAGTTCCAGTTTGCTAGATTTTTTTTCTGAATTATGTTTTATTTTCTAGGGCAAGGGCATTAGGAGTCATTGGTACTGTTAGTAATGTGGGAGCAGTCGTGGCTCCTGTTTTAATGACCCTCGAGATGTACTCTGCCTCTTTACCCTGGATCATCTATGGAGTCATCTCCATCCTTGCTGGCTTTGTTCCTCTTCTCCTTCCTGAGACCAAGGATAAGCCTCTGCCTGACTCCATTCAAGATGTGGAAAATGAGTGAGTAACACCTCTACCTCCCACTTAAGGGGACTTGTATGTCAATGGTCTATGATGTGGAAAGCGAAATAGCATTCAGACCATCTCTCTTCCAAGGAATCAGACATTAGGCTTTTTCGCATGTGGTCACTGATCTTGGCATAGGAGTCTGTCCTGTCTCCCTTCATAAGGTCGATGCAAATGGGCGTGGAGCTCTCCAGACACAAAGGCTCGCTCCACTAGGATGCACTAGGAGATGTGTTGATGAATAGGCCAACTGAGGTCTTCTGCCCACTATGCCTTCATGTAAAGCACATAAAGCATATGTGTTAATGTGGTGCCTGTGTAATGGGTATATGTATACAGAGGCCAGAGAAGGGCATCAGATGCTCGACTCATACTTTGCCCATTCTGAGGATTCCATCAATGAACCAGGAGCTGGGATGGAGACTAACGAGTACCAAAATACTACAATTAGAAGCATTTGCGTCCATGCCCAGCTTTTTACACAAGTTCCTAGGATTTGAATTCAGGACCTGCTTCTTTTGCACAAAATACTCAATGCACTGAGCTTACCCATTAAACCATGAAACAGATGTTCTTGCCTTTATTTCACAAGTATGCACAAATAAAAATGGCATTCCATCCTTAAGAATCAGAATCATCTGTCAGCCCAGTGAGTGCTGGCAAGCTGTTTGAAACTGACAGTTTCTGGAGGCTTAGGGGTCTGCCATGATCACTGAATAACTTAGAGGAAATAGAACCAGACACAGGTGACAGTGAAATTTTGCTGTGAGATTCAGATTATCTTGGTTTCATTAAGTATGACAAGCTCACAACAGAAAGAATGACAGGTCAATAATGAGATTAAACAAAAAAGAATGAGCAGGATTTTTAAATGTTGGTATATTTCCTGTGCTCTTTTTCCTTCAAACCCCTTGGAGAATGCTATGACCACCAAGGTAGTAAGTATCAAAGCTGACTCTTAGAGGTTACTAGGGAGGCGTTGGTTTTTATTTCCCCAGATTTACTTAAATCCTTTGGTAGGAATCTTAGACTTTACAAAAGATGATGGGTGAAGGATGAGATTGTTCTTATGAATTCAGGATATGCCTTTATTCTCTGTGTCCTTTCAGGTTCGTTTATGCATTGATGGTATTTGTTGTGTGTGTTCTAGGTGGAAAGGTTCAAGGCATACAAATGAGGAAGGTGCCATCATCAAAGTGACACCGTTTTAAGGAACTCTGAGAATTGGTCTCTGGTCAAATAGCAGGATAAAGAGAAAAGTCACTCAGAATGTGCTGTTCCAGGAACATTGCTAGCTATTAGCAAACGTTTCAATAAATGCTGATGCAAATATGGATTATATTTTATACCATTTTTCTACATTATTATATATAAAACACCTATAATTATTCACAGTAAGAAATGTGGAGATGACACACACACAAGTGCCTGCCCTCGTCCCACAGATTGGGGCAGCAGATGCCACTACAATGAACAAATGTGTGATGGAGACATGGGAAAGACAGAGTATGTGGTAGAGATGGGAGAGAAAGAGAAGTAGAGCAGTTCATGTGCTGTGGAAGAGGTGGAGGTTCAAAGGCTGTGAGGAACAGACAGATATGAGGAGCCTTTGCTGCCTCTTGAAGCCATGCTGATGTCCTGGGGCCCTGCTGTTACTGGGACCATACTGATTGAGTGGCCTGTGCTGCCACCTGAGGCCATGGGGATGTCTGGGCCAGGGCTGTCAACAAAGGCCATGTCCGGGTCCCTGGTCCTGTCACACCTGGGGTCTGTGTGGATGTCCATGACCCATGTTGCCACTGAGAACCACTCAGATATCTGTGGTCTGGACTGTTGCTTAATGCCATTCAGATGTCTGGGAGCCCTACTGTCACCGGGGGGCCAAATTGATCTGAGTGTCCTGTGCTGCCTCCTGTGGTCATGGTGATGTCCTGGTGAGGGGCCACATCTGGGTCCAAGGACCAGTTACTGTAGCCTGAGTCTGTGTTGATGTCCATGGCCTGAGTTACCACCAAAGGTCACACAGTACTCCATGGTCTGTGCTGCCACCTGAAGCCATAGTTACATCCAGAACCAGCTGCTACCGAGGGCCATGTTTGGGTCTGTAGCCCTACAGTTGCTGGGGTCTATGTTGATAACTGAGACCTGGGTTGCCACCAAGGGTCGTTTGGATGACTGTGGTCTAGGCTGCCATGAGGATATCTGGGCCTGGGGTGCAACTGAGGGCCATGGGTCCATGGTCCGACTTCAGCCAGGGTCCGTGTTGACGTCCATGGCATGTGTTACCACCAAAGGCTGAGTGGACATGCACTAGTCCATGGTCTCTGCTGCCACCTGTAGCCATGTTGATGTCCCAGTACCATGCGTATCTGACTCCACCCTTCACTGGATGCAAGAGAGCTGGTTTGACCCCTCACCAGCTGCAGTACTCAGGAGAGCTTGCCTCACCCCTTGCCTGGGGAGTGTGGGAGAATTGACCCTGATGGCATGAGCTTGGGAGAGCTAGCAGCCCTTGTAGGCCCTGTGGTGACTAGGGCTTGGAAGAGATGCCACCGATGACAGGTGGGAGAACTGGTCCTTAGAGTGAGAGAGCTGCCCCCACCCCTGCCAGATGCGGCACTCAGGAGATCAGGTCCCACTCCTCACCTGGGCAGCACTGGAGAACTGGACTTGGTGGCATAGGTACCAGTGAGCCAGCTCTGAGGGTGTGAACTCCAGAGAGCTGGTCTCGCCTCTCACCTGGGCAGTGTGGGAAACTTGGCCTGAAAGACCTGAGGGCTAGGGACCTAGCCCTGCTGTTTGCTAGCTGTAGCATGCCAGAGAGCAAGCCCCTGAAGCATGAATATATTTTGTCTTATCAATAAAAACCAGGAGTCAAATATCAGGGTAATAACCTGAAAGATCAGAGAAGCAAAGGAGCAGCCATCAGAGACTTCCTACCTCCTCAGATCCTCTGACCAAAGGGGCCCAAGATCCTGTCTCCACCCACCTTATGTTCCTCCACCTCCAAATTGTGCTGAGATTAAAAGACTGAGCCTCCCAAGTGCTGGGATAAAAGGCATGCATAACCACTACCTGTTCTATGGTTAACTAGTGGCTAGTTCCAAACTCTGATCTCCAGGCAAGCTTTGTTGCAACACAAACAAAATACCATACAACAAGCCTCACACCTTACCAGGGCAGCACTGTAGAGCTGGCCATGGGTCCATGGGCACTTGAGAGTCAGCCTGAGGGTGTGAGAGCAGGAGAGTCGCCCTGCCTCTTGCTGGCTGTGGCATTCAGGTGAGCTGGTCCTCCCTCTCACTGGGCAATGCTGGAGAGCTGGCTCTGTTTATGTAGGTGAGAGAAAGATAGCCCTGATAGCATGGGAGAGCTGGTCCCTTGACTTTATAGCTACCACAGGCAGGAGAGCTGGCCAGACTTCTCACCTGGGCAAAATGGGAGGACTGGCCCTGGTGCTTGTGTGCAGGAGTACAGATGGACTGACCAACTCAGCTACCACCCAGGCCCGGATCAGGGCATTAAGCTGGCCCACTCTAACATTTACCCCATCTAAGAACTGCTATGGCATGTGAAGGGACCAGCCCAGGATCTCCATGACACAGGGCAACAACAGTATATCTGAGAGGAATCCTCATAAGAATACAATATTGATAGTGTAGTAGAAGCCAGAGGCCTCAAACCAGTCCAATGACTCATTGCAATGAACATCTGCAAGTAAAACAACTTGGGCAAATGGTATATTATGTGACACACTGAGACACACTGCACCTTCCAGAGAGGTTTTTCTTTGTCTGTCTGTCTCTTTCTTTGTTTTCTTTGGGGAGTTGTAAGAGTGCAAGGCAGATATGGAGGGATGGGGGAGATGAGTGTAATTGGGGTGCAAGTTGTGAAATTCATAAAGACTCAATAAAAAATTTAAAAGAAAGAATTGTGAAGAAAGTAACAATATATTAAAGAAAATTCTGACAGAGTATTTTTACAGTCAGAGATAATTGCCAAGTTTCTGGATAGTATAGGGGTGGCCATCAGTGCAGCCTTTTGGGCTGAGTGCCCTATGGCAAGGCTAGTGCTCATTTGGTGATCCAGTAGGTAGTTACTGCTGACCCTGCTCTCCTGAATCTATTGATGACCAGACTGATTCCATGGATAAAAATGATTAGCCTCTAACTCACACAAGGAAGTGTTCTAGAGATCTAGGCAACTGGCCTCAGAAATGTCCAGCAAGTCCTCACAGTCATGGAGAGGGACATCAGAGTTGTCATCAGGCATCAATATCATAGGATTGAAATTCTGTACAGCAGTAAAATTAGGATCGGGCTGCTCAAGTAAGAGACTCTAATATTGAGTGTTATGGGCATTCCAGACCTTGGCCCCTCATAAGAGAGTTTCCACAGTATGGGAACCCATTAGAGTGATATTCTAGTCTAAGGTGAACATTTCTGCTTCCCTTACTAGTACAGTGGTTGAAACTAACATGCAAACAGGATGATCAACTGGAGGCCACTGGATCCAGACACTTAGACAGATACTGAAGGGCCCCAGCATACTTGCTTAGCCTAACGCCATTTTTGAGCAAGGCCTGAAAAGTAACTAAAGGTCAGAAAAACAACTTGTACCCTGGATAAGAGCCAAGTCAGCAGGCGTGTCGAGCTCGGGGAAAAACCACGAGCTGTCCTGAGTTTGAACCTGGCCTCATACGAATCGTCCAATCAGAACCCTGTAAACTATGCTTCCTGCTTCTGTACCCGCCCTTCCGCTGCCCAACCCTATAAAAACCCTCCACTCCAGCCCGTCGGGGCGCCAGTCTCTTCAGCCTCTGGAGGGACTGTATCGCCCCGGGTACCCGTGTTCCTGAATAAAGCCTCTTGCTGTTTGCATCTGACTTGTGGTCTCGGTGTGATCTCTGGGCGAGGGTCTCTCCAGAGGGAAGACTCCAGACGGGGGTCTTTCAATACGTTATGGGTCTCTGTCAAAGTCCCAGGGTCTGAGTTAAAACACCCTATGCAATGACCAAGTTCTGTGGATGAAAAGATACAGTGATTTAGTGACATCTGGTGGGGCCAAAGTTGGGGCTGGGGACAGAGACTACTTGAGTTCTTGAAAAGTTTGTTCCTCGGTTTCAATTCATTTCAAAGGCAGGTCTCATGTAGAGGCAGAATGAAGAGGATGAGCTATTTCAACAAGCCCATGAGTTCAGAGTCTGCAATATTCTGAAGCTTCCCCCCACCACAGAAATTCACATACCTGCTTCTTGGATTGGGGAGTGGGGATCCAAAACAATGTTTTCCTTCTGAGCAGCACTGAGAGATCTCCTGCCAGTTCTATCTTGAGCTAGCTTGTATCCCAGATAGGAGACTCTGTCTAGCAGAAATGAGCCTTTCCATGGAGACACCATATCCCAATATCTGCAGCAACTGAAGTAAGTCCTTAATAAAAGGCTCTCTTTGTGACTAAGAATCCTATGTCAGTCTGAGTAATGTAAAATAGCCTAGTATTGTTTCTATATGTCAAAATTATATAGCTTAAACAAAAATCATAATGTCAATACAGATGCCCAAATGTGTAAAACACACTACCAAAGGACTGTGGAAGGAACCCCATAGCTGTGCTTACTAGGGAGGCATTTCAGTGGCACCTGAGGAAGTTCCAGATAGAAAAGAGCTGGTTTCCACAGCCAGGGACGCTCCAGCTATGCCAGGTGGGGCTCCCCATCAGGGAGTCACACACCTGTTGGGTGACTTGTCAAACACTGGTTGTCACCTGATGTACACTTCCAAGGCCCTCAGCTCCAGGAAGTGAATGAGTGTGGAGAGAAAGTCAGTTTTCTTTAGGGTGGTAACACAAGTGTGTTTCCCATACTACAGTAGATAGCCTGACACACATGTACATGTGGACGACACTGATTCCACTCAGTAGGTTCTGAATACATCTGCAAAAGAAGATCTGAAAACTCATTGCACTTTTGCTTGTTTGAGTTGAGACCTTGAGTCTCTTCCAGGACTAAGGACCTTTGTTCACAGCTAGTTTTTGAGGATTCTGCTTGTAAATAATTAACCCAACTGTGACCTCCAGATCTCTTTAGATGTTCTAAAAAAAAAATCCTTTGATGATTCAGAATGCTCACAGCCACAAATGTTAGCAAAGGAATTGCAAAACTGGACCCTCAACTATAGTACCAAATTTCCTTCCCCTCCCTCAGAGTGTTGGT